AAAATCGTGCTTCCTGGATGTCACACTGTAAAATTAGCAGCTAGCAATTAGCAGCAGCTGATTTGGCGATTTAGTTGACAGGAAAAATCCTTGTCTCGCTAGAATACGCTGCACTAGATCAATAAGGGTTCAGTTTTTGTCGAAATTGGACTATCTGGATGTCACACTGTAAAATTAGCAGCTTTTAGAAATGTGCAACTGATTTGGCGATTTGGTGTACAGGGAAAATCCTTATCTCGATAGAATACGCTGCAATAGATCAATAAGGGTTCAGTTTTTGTCGAGATTGGACTATCTGGATGTCACAATTGGAAAATCTCACAAAATTAAAGCTCTAGGTTCAATGGAAATTTTTCAGCTGATGGATCTCCGTTTCGAGAAGTTTTCCTCAAAACTTGCATGTAATTTTACAAATTTTACAATAGAATCTGCTTATCTGGATGTCACACTAAAGAATTATTCTCAAAGAAACAAAAAGAAAAGGTTAAAAAAATTCTGGCACCGATTTTGACTCGAGCCTAATTTCCGTCGAAAATGAAACGATTTTTAGAAATTAAGTCAATTTCAGCCAATCTGGAAGTAAGAGAACTAAATTTTAAATTTTGAAGGCTTAAAGATAATTTTAACCGTGATTGGAATCAGGCCATTCAAGTTCAACTCAATTTCTCTTGAAACTGAAATGATTTTTGGAAGGGAGTCAATTTTTGGTCAATCTGGAAGTCACGGGAACTAAATTTCACATTTTTAAGGCTCAAGGATCATTTTAAGGTTTGGTGCAATGGATAAGCGCTCGAGTGCGGTTCGAAACCTCGCGGGTTCGAATCCCCTTGCTACCAAAATTTTTTGCTTTTTTTTTTTAAGCGTTTGATTTTGTTTCTAAGGTGGTTTTGGTGTGCGCTGAGGCTAAAGAAGTTTGTCTAAACAAAAGCTTGGCCAGAAACAGCAAGAAACGGCCAGAAACGACCAGAAACTTGGGTTACTTTAACCAGGAGAAATTAAACCAAATTGTGGCAGATTCTGGGATGAAAAGGATTTAATGCATGATTTTTGGTTGAAATTCTCGATCTCTTTAGAAATGAAACTCAAAGCCAAAAAAAGAGTAAAAAGATGAACCCAAATGATTGCCGGACTTTGATTGACTGAGAAAAAGGAAAAAGAATGGAGAAAGATAAAAAAACAATAGTCAGAGCTGACTCTAACGCCAGGAATTCCCCAGGGAACAATCATCTGCTAGAAAAGAGCAAAAAAAAGGCAAAATTCGACAATCTCGAACACCTGATCTTTTGAAGAGAAATATTCCATTGAATCTGTAAGAAAATTGAAATTGAAGTTGAAATTTGGCAGATCTGGAACACACACTACCATTTCAGTGTTCTAGATTGGGTCCGTTTCTGAAGTTTTTTCAGCCTGGTTTCTAGACTTTTGTCAGCCTCTTATTTGCTTCGCCTGTGTACTTTATGCGTACTTTGAACTCAAATTCGCTCGATCTGGAGCGCACTACCTTTTCAGTGTGCTAGATTGGGTTAGTTTCTAAATTTTCCTCAAGCCTTTTTCTAGATTTTTGTCAGCCTCTCATTTAGCTTCACCTGTGTACTTTTGTGCGTACTTTAAACTCAAATTCACTCGATCTGGAGCGCACACTACCTTTCCAGTGTGCTAGGTGGGGTGTGTTTGCAGAATTTTCTTCATTGTACTAAAAAGTTGTACGAAAGCTGAGGTTCAAACGAATTTCTCTTGAAACCGAAACCATTTCTAGAAATCGAGCGAATTTCCAGCCAATCTGGAGGTCACGAGAACTAAATTTTACATTTTTAAAGCTCAAGGGTCATATTTAAAATTCAGCTCACATGGAGCAATGGATAGCTCGCTTGGCTCGAGGCGAAGGGTCGCGGGTTCGAATCCGCTTGCTGCCAGAAATTTTCGTTTTTGTTTTTTCAAGGAAATTTGTTTATAAATCGTTAAGAAAGCTTTTCGAATGTATAAACCGAAAAAGTATGAAAAAAATTAGAGAAAATGAGGGAAAACAAGAAAAATTTGTAGTGCCAATTAGAGCTTGAAAATTCGTCTTTTTTACTCTTTTTTGGTAAATTTTTCTCGTTTTATACATTTTGCCAGCTTTCCCAACGATTTATAAATAAATTTCCTCAAAAAAACAAAAAAGGAGAAGATTTCTGGCAGCAAGGGACTCGAACCCGCGACCATTCGCCTCGAGGCCAGCTCGCTAACCACTCGGCCACGCAAAGCCGAAAAGTGCCTAAAATCGTTCAAAAAATAGCTCTAAATCTTCTGTGACATCCAGCTTTTGGCTTGCACTTAGTTAGAGTATGTCATTGCGGCTAGATATCAAGAAAGCGGCTAGATATCGAGTTCAACCAATTTCTCTTGAAATACTAAACGATTTTTGGAAATTGAGCAAATTTTGGTCAATCTGGAAGTCACGGGAACTAAATTTTACATTTTGAGCATTCCTTTTTCAGATTTCAGACTTTTCGATCTTTAACCAAATTTTATCATTTTGATCATTCGTTTTCAAGAAAGATTACATTTCAATTTTCGGTTTCTGTATTTTAAAAGCTTTCCCAACGATTTCTAAATAAATTTCCTCGAAAAAAAAAAAAGCAAAAAATCTCTGGCAGCAAGGAAACTCGAACCAGCGATGCTTCGCCTCAGGCCCAGCTCAACTAACCACTCGGCCATTGGGAAAAGTGTTTAAAATGCTTCAAAAAATAGCTCAAAATCTTCTGTGACATCCAGCTTTGGCTTGCACTTAGTCACAGTATACTATTGTTTGAAAATAGCAAGGGAATTGGCTCAGCTACGGAATTAAATGAGTTTTCGGTCGAATTTCTCAAGTAAATGATTGCAAGATGGGAAATAAATAAGTAAAATGGAAATTTTATTCAAAAAAGTGTTTCTAGACAAGCTTTGAACCGGGAGAAAGGGGAAAAAAGGCAAAATTTTCGGTGGTTGCAAATTTTCGCACTTTTTGACTTTTTCATAATATTTGATTGAAGAAAAAAAAAGAAAAATTTGAAACTTTTTGATTTTTCGCTTTTTTGATTGAATTTTTAAGAAAAAGATACAATTTATTCAATAAAATAAAAAAAAACACAAAAAGGCACATTTGAATCAATAAAAAAAGCCGGAAAAAGTCGAAAAACCAGCTGAAACGAGTCGGCGCAGTTTTCAAGCTTTTCGTGTAAGTGGAAAGGTTTTAGACAACGAATTAGACCAAATTGGAACGCACATGATAAAATGATTCTTTTAAATGATCGTTTTTAGCACCAAAGTTCTCCACTTCGATCACCGACATCGGATTTTTCGGCAAACGCAAGGAGTGAACGCGGGCCTGCTGAGAGGCGACGTCAGGCATTTCGGGCTAAAAAGTGGAAAGATTAGATGAATATTTGAAGAAAAGTCGATTGGAGAAACTTTTGGCGGTGACCGGAGTCGAACCAGCGACCGTCTGCCTCGAAAATCAAGGCTTTCTCCACTGCGCCATCAAAAATCTTCTCTATTTTCAAATCCTAATAATCCCTCACTGTTCAGTGACATCCAGGACTGATGAAAGCTTTTATTTAGCCTTAATTCCCTCTCTTTCAGCTTATTTTTCGGTGATCTCAGTTCACGCAATTTTAAGAGAAACAAAACGAAATTAAGTGAAACTAAAACATTTTTCGTTCAAGCTGGATATCACAGAATCTATCTAAATCGTTTTTTTACAGAAAGCTGAAACTTTTGGCGGTGACCGGAGTCGAACCAGCGACCGTCTGCCTCGAAAATCAAGGCTTTCCCACTGCGCCATCAAAAATCTTCTCTATTTTCAAATCCTAATAATCCCTCACTGTTCTGTGACATCCAGGACCGATGAATGGCATTTTCTCTAGCCTTAATTCCCTCTCTTTCGGCTTATTTTTCGGTGATCTCAGTTCGCGTGATTTTAAGAAAAACGAAAAGGAAACTGAGTGAAACTAAAACGTTTTTCGTTCAAGCTGGATATCACAGAATCTATCTAAGCCTTTCGTTATATAAAATAAGCAAAAAAATTTGTGGCCTAATGGTTAGTGCGCTCGGCTATCAATCTGATAGCCGGGTGCTAGTTCAAATCCGGTCAGTTGAAAAATGTTTGCCTTTAAGCTGAAAACGGTTTGTGGACATTTTGGCGAAAATCCCGAGCGTTGTGCGCATTTTTCAGTATCAGTTTTCGAACGGGATGGCGGAGATTCTCGTTGGGTGGTCACAAATAGCAATTTCGTTTAGAAAGCGCTATAAAACGTGAAAATGATTAAATTCAATTTACGTGACATCCAGCTTGGCGAAAAAGTGGCAGAACCAAGCGGAAAAGTTCGATTTACCCCGACTTTTCCTTTCAAAGTCCTGACGAACCGTGGCCGAGTTGCTTAAAGCAAGAAGTGGGTTTTTATTGAAATTTCCTCTTACATGACATCCAGCTAGGGCAAAAATGTGCAAAACCGAGCGGAAAAGCTAGGTTGAACTGGGCTTTTGCTTTCAGAGTCAAGAAACGAAGCGTGGCCGAAGACTTGTATAAAGCTAAGGTGGTTTTTATCGAAATTTCCTCTTACATGACATCCAGATTGGCCAAAAGTGCGCAAAACCGAGCGGAAAAGCTAGATTTAACCGGAATTTCCTTTCAAGTCCAAACAGACCGTGGCCGAGACTTGCTTAAAGCAAAGAGTGGTTTTTATCGAAATTTCCTCTTACATGACATCCAGATTGGCCAAAAGAGGGAAAACTGGGGCTAAAAGCGCTGGATTTGTGAAAACTTGTCAAACTTAGGAAAACTTGTCAAGATTTGTCAAAACTGGCTGGATGTTTCAACAAACATACATCATTTCTCGTTCCTCGTTCGTTCGGGCGAGCAGGCGAGCACATGCGGAGGAAAAGGACGTTGAGCAATGAGGATGAGAGGATGAAAGGATTTGAATGATGTGAATGATGTGAATGATGTGAATGATGTGAATGATTTTTTTGGGCAATCAACTCGTTGACAAACTTGGCTGAAATAGAGATTTTCGAAATGGAAACGAAAAAACATTAAATTTAGATGGGTTAAATGAAATCAAACATTAAATAAAGGCTTTCGAAGAACAAAGAACTGTTTATAGAACTGTTGATAGCTTTTCCTTTACCTCTTTGCTGATGTTTGTGGCTGATTGGCTGCGTTTACGGATCCGGGAGCTGTTGCGGATTCTGAAGATCTGATTCTGAAGTCTATTGATAAACTAAAGATTCTTGATAAACTAAAGTCATCTTTATCGAGATTGTTCAAGGAGAGCTTTCCAAAAAGCTACCGTACTTCTGGAGAAGGTTTAGAAAGAACGCAGAAAAGTGATTACGGTAATGGTTCGACTGATAGAACGACTGATAGACGACGTGAACTTTTCCCCATCATCATTTTACCACTTTTCCTCAACTTTTGCGGGTTCAAATCATTTTTCTGAGTTGATCTGGATGTCTGAGTAGGCTTTGCAAACGTTAGCTTTCAAAAATTTGAATTCAAAAGCAAAAACGTAAAACACGTATATCTTTTCACAGAGCGCTCCATATCAAAGCGAAAAGCAGATTCGGAATCAGCGTCAAATTCTGGCCCTAAACCGTGGTAAAAAAAAATTACCACGGTTTTAGGAAAGCATATTTAGGAAACGTTTATTAAACGGATTAGAGACGGGCTTTTGGAGAGCGATCGGCTTTTGGTAAATAAGGTGTAAACGCACGGCTTCTAACACTGTGGCCTCCAGCTTGAAACCATTGGCATCGGTTTGATGCTCAATCAATAGCTACAGTACCCCCTTTAACCATAGAGAAAGAAATGGATTAGAGGAAAGTCATTGGCTGAGCAAATGGGGTCTAATCTTACGGCTTCTAGCACTGTGACATCCAGCTTGAAGATTGGCATCCGGTTTAGTTACTTAGCCAAGAGCTAATGTACCCTTTTAGCCATAGAGAAAGAGACGGATTAGAGGGGAAAATCATTGGCTGGAGCAAATGAGGTCTAATTCATCTCGGCTCCTAGCTCTGCTAACATCCAGCTTGAAGATATTGGCATTGGTTTGGTTGCTCAATCAATAGCTACAGTGCCTTCTAACCATAGAGAAAGAAATGGATTAGAGGAAAGTCATTGGCTGAACAAATGGGGTCTATCCTCCACGGCTTCTAACCAGTGTGATATCCAGCTTGAAGATTGGCATCGGTTTAGTTACTTAGCCAAGAGCTACGGTACCCTTTCAACCATAGAGAGCGAGACGGATTAGAGGAGAGTCGTCGGCTTCAACAAGTCGGGTCTAATCTCCCAGCTTCTAGCACTGTGACCTCAGGCTTGAGAGCTTCCGTAGATTTCATTGCCCAACTCCCACTCATTTCCTTCAAATCCCAATCTACTCACCCGGCGTATATCACGTGGACGAATACGAGGATGGAAGCTCTCGGAGACCGCGTTTCTCGTCGAGTGACATTAGCAGAGTTTTAGCTCCTGTGATAGTTAAATACTAAACAAATCAAATCGGACCGTAAAAGCCACCGTAATCCGTCTTTTTTTTCAGCCGAATTTTTGAGAATTTAATTCGGGTTATTTTTATGAAATTTTTGTAATTTTTGAATTTTTATCAATTTTTCAGTGAATTTAAGCTATTTTTAAGTTAAAATCTTTGAATTTAAATAAAAATTCTTTACTTTTGACACTCCGAAGCAAAAAGAAAAAAATATCCGTACAAATACGGGGAAAGATCCGAGGTTGAAAACATCGTAAGCGTAGAATGAATCCACCCAGCTCTTTTGGGACTCTGAAAGAAGCTTTTAAGTAAAAGATAATAGCCAAGCTTGTTTATTTCAATTACGCGATGGTCCAAGTTCCAAATTTCATCAAAATCCAGCTGAAGGAATCGAACCCTCGAGGTTCCGACTCGTATCCAATGACTCATCAATCACTTGGCCACCGGCTTTTCACTCTATTCTGCTTCACGATAACATTTTAGAAACCCTCTGTGACATCCAGCTTTAAGGGAAAGCTTTTAGGCCTGGAAGCTCAAAAATGTTTCACCTGTCGAGCAAAAACCGCGATTCGAGATCACTCAAAAATAGCGAGAAGTATCGGGAATTGAAGAAAACTAGAGAACAAATCTTGCAATCTGGATGTCACGGAAGGTGTAGAAATGTTTTCACGTCTGATTTTGTCTTTCTGAAGCTCAGAAAGCGTAGATGAATTTCCGTAGAAAAGCTCTTTTGGGACTCTAAAGAAGTTTTTCAAGTAAAAAATGATATCCAAGCTTGTTTATTTCAATTACGCAATGATCCAAGTTCTAAATTCCATCAAAATTCAGCTGAAGGAATCAGGGCCCGCCAGCTTTCGACTCGTAGCAAAGCTCGCTAACCCACTTGGCCACCGGGTTTTTACTCTATTTTTCTTCGATAACATTTTAGAAACCCTCTGTGACACTTCCGAGAAAACTTTGAAGGAAACTGCTTGGCTAGGCTCAAAAATGTTTCCCCTGTCGAGCAATAGCCGCGATTCGAGTTCATTGAGAAATAAGACGAATGGGGGATAATTGAGAAAAATTTAAAAGGAATTCTTGCAATCCTGGATGTCACTCAATGTGTAGAAACATTGGAAATTCAAAGTCGAGCTGAAGGAATCAAACCCATCAGCTTTCGACTGAGTAGTCAAACTCGTTAACCACTCGGCCACCCAGACGATCATTATATTCGCGATATTTTTAGCTACTAACATTTTAGAAATGCCCTGTGACATCCAGCTTTAAAGGGAAGCTTTTTGGCTAGAGCTTAAAACCGTTTCCCGGTCGAGCAAGAGCTGTGAATCGAGATCACTCAAAAATAAAGAGAAGTATCGGGAATTGAAGAAAACTAAGAACAAATCTTGCAATCTGGATGTCACACTAATGTGTAGGAAACATTGAAATTCAAAAAGCATCAAAATCCAGCTGAAGGGATCGAACCCATCAGCTTTTTCGACTGGTAGTCAAACTCGCTAACCACTCAGCCACCGAGGCTTTTACTGTATTTTCCTCGATAACTTTTAGAAATCCTCTGTGACATCCAGCTTTAAGGGAAAGCTTTTGGCTAGGCTCAAAAATGTTTCCCCTGTCGAGCAAAACTGTGATTCGAGATCACTCAAAAATAAAGAGAAATGAGAAGATTGAAAAAAACTAAAAGACAATTCTTGCAATCTGGATGTCACGGAAGGTCTGAAAGAAAGGCTCTTTGGGTAAATATTGACAGTTTAAGTATCATTGATCAAGACTGACATTTCAGAAAGCAAATCTCAAAAACTTCAAGGCACATAAACAAGAAATCCCTATCCATAATGGTCTATCCTATCCAAGGAAGGTCTTGGCAAGGCTTAGAGCCGAGCCAGAGCCTAGGATTGAATATCAATCTTCTTCAAGTTCTTGGTCTGGATCTGATCTGGATTTTTTCGAACTCGATTTTAAAAAACTCACAAATCTTGCTGTTTGTTGTGAGTGCAAAAACATGATGATTGCGTAGGGTGTCCAGCAGAAAAGGAAAGCAAAAACGACGACGAAAGTCATCCTAAAAAAAAAAATAATTATTTCAATTGAGTGAATTTTAATTTAGAAATCGTTTAATAGCCAAGCTAGAGCTTTTATTTTAAAACTCTTTAAAAACCAAAATTTCTGAGGCAAAGCATTCTGTGATATCCAGATTGCAAGAATTGTTTTTAGTTTTTCTCAATTCCCCACACTTCTCGTTATTTTGAATGAACTCGAATCGCGGCTCTTGCTCGCCAGGAAACAACTTTAAGCCTAGCTCAAGGCTTTCCCATAAGGCTGGATGTCACAGGTGATTTCTACCATGTTAAAAGCGCAAAAATATAACAATGTCCTGGTGGCCGAGTGGTTAGCACGCTCGGCTACAAATCTGAGGGTCCTGGTTCGATTCCGGGGGTGAAAAATTTTGGGGAAAAATCAATTTTAAGCGCTCAGATGCTTATGTGAGTTCCAGGATGGATAAAAATTCGATCAGATCGTTAAAACCTTTATTTACCAGCAGCGAATTACCTAGTCTCTGGGTACTCATATGCAGATGTTTGGAAATTCTTCAAAAACTCGAAATTTCTCAGGCAAAGCATTCTGTGATATCAGATTGCAAGAATTCTTTTTAGTTTTCTCAATTCCCCACACTTCTCGTTATTTTTGAATGAACTCGAATCGCGGCTTTTGCTCGCCAGGGAAACAACTTTAAGCCTAGCTCAAAGGCTTTCCCTTAAAACTGGATGTCTGAGGTGATTTCTAAGATGTTAGTAGCTCAAAATATAACAAAGTCCCGGTGGCCAAGTGGTTGCTTACGCCCGGCTACAAATCTGAGGGTCCTGGTTCGATTCCGGGGTGAAAAATTTTGGGAAAAAAGCAATTTTTAAGCGCTTAGATGCTTCTGTGACTTCCAGGATTGCTAAAAATTTGATTGAATCGTTAAAATCTTCATTTACCAGCCATGAAATGCGCATTAACCAGATTTTTCGACTTTTTCGGCAATTTGAGTGAACAATTTCGCCAACATTTGCTTATCTTTCACACCTCAAAGTTCTCGATCTTGCTCGTTGCAAATTATCGCCACCATTTCTTCGCAAAAGTCCACCCTTCTCGGTTTCTAAAAGGAAAAAGATTCAAAATTCAAAATTCAAAATTCAACAATGTTTAGGCTTTAATTTAAAGCTGTTTTTGAAGCTGTTTTGAAGTGTTTTTGGCTTTAAAAAACGAAAATACCTGATTTAAAGCAAGTTTTATGCGAGATTCGCCACAAAATCAACGAATAACAAACGACGGTCACGAGGAGGGGCAAGAAGTAAACCTGGAATACACAAAGAATAAAGCTTTCTAAAGAATAAAGACTGAAGACTAAAGACTAAAGCTTTCGAAAGACTTTTTCTACTACTAAATCTTGTCACTCTTTTACACAAGAGCGTTTAAAGAGAAAATTTCTAAAATGAGAATGCGGAGGGAAATGGGGACGCATAACGACAGCGTATTTTGAAAGAAAACCATTTTTCTTCAAATCAAAAATCTAAGCACTAGCAATTCTTAAATGATGTCCAACTAAGAGAAAAAATGGAAGCTGATGAACGCTGCTGGACGCTGCTGGAGGCTGATGGACACTGCTGGACACTGCTGGACGCTGATGGAGGCTGCTGGACGCTGATGAACGCTGATGGAAGCTGATGGACGCTGGACGTCGGTTATCGAATTCGGTGATGTCGCCACAGGACGTCCAGCGTCTATCAGCTTCCATCAGCGTTCGTAAAGGTCCAGCGGCGTCCAGCAGCCTCCATCAGCGTCCAGCAGTGTCCAGCAGTTCCATCAGCGTTCAGCAGCTTCCATCGCGTTCATAAGGTCCAGCGGCGTCAGCGGCCTCCAGCGGCGTTCAGCAGCTTCCAGCAGCGTCCAGTAGCTTCCAGCAGCCTCCAGCAGCTTCCAGCGGCCTCCAGCAGCCTCCAGCGGCGTCCAGCAGCTTCCAGCGGCTTCCAGCGGCCTCAGCAGCTTCCAGCAGCGTCCAGTAGCTTCAAGCAGCGTCCAGCAGCTTCCATCAGCTTCCAGCAGCCTCCATCAGCGTTCATCAGCGTCCAGCAGCGTTCATCAGCGTCCAGTGGCGTCCAGCAGCGTCCGTGAGCGTCCATGAGCGTCCAGCGGCGTCCAGCAGCTTCCATCACTGTCCAGCAGCTCCATCAGCGTCCATCAGCATCCAACGTCGATCAGCACAGACCGTAAGCTTTCGATGACGTCCAGGAGACTTCTTCCTGCCATAATTGAAAGGATCCTTCAAGAAATTTGCGACAACTTGGTGCAAGCGCTTCATTTTCTTTTCTTTTCTTTCTTTGTTCTTCTTGGACTTCGTTGATTCTTCGACAACTTTCTTCCTTTCAAAATCGTAATTTTCATCTTTTATAGCAGTTGATCTTGATGAATTTACAATGGAATTGCAAAGAAAAACGTTGAAAAAATGAATAAAAATAATGGAAAATGGCTTTAAGCAATGGAAAATGGCAATGGAAACGAATTACAGTAGCTAGTGCATTTTAGAATGCGTCCCCATGCGTTGGAATGCGTTGGAATGCGTTAGACTACGTTAAATTCTCTGTGAACGCTCTTGTGTGAATCTTATAAGCTTATCAATCTCGTCGTCTTGCACAACTCTACCTGCACAATGTTGACAATCAGTACCAATAAACGATTTGATGTGGGATCTCTCCGATAAAATTCGGGCCACACACTGCGAGAACCAGGGATAACAAGGGTGAGACGTGGCACCGGAACATGTAGAACTGAAAGGTTTTTCATTTGAAATAGCTCACATTTCCGAGATGAGCTCAATTAGCTGACATTAACTGATCAGCGCAATTTAATCCCGATTTCGTTTGTTTCTTGCAAACTTTACAATAAAGCCTGCTTATCTGGATGTCACACTACAATAATTTGAAAGAATAAACGCCAAAATCTCACTTTAAAATTTTAAACGAGTTCAGCGCGATTTCTTGGAGATTTTTGGAGTTTTGAAGGAGATTTTGCTAGAAAAGGGCTTCCTGGATGTCACACTATGCAAATTTTTAAAAACTGGAGCCTAAAAGCTTAAAAACCGGATGGCGCAGTGGTAGTGGTCGCGTTTGTCGCTCAGACCTCGCTGGTTCGACTCCCACCTCCGCCAATGACTACGACCTTTTTGCTTTTTTGCCTCTTTTCGTAATTTGATCAAATTTGGGCATCCTGGCGTTCCGCGGGGCCAGGCGGGGCTTGAACCAGTGACCTCTAGATCGGGAGCCGAGCCGTTACCCACTGCGCTATGGGTGCAAACTCTTAAAATCATCTCTAAACCTTAAAAATGGAAAAACTAAGTCTTGTGACATCCAGCTTAGCCAAAAATTGCTTTAAATCTTAAAAATCGGTTTGTTTTCAATGGAAAATTGGACTGATCTCGAAAATTTCTGAGATCAGCTCAATTTTTCGGTTTCGTTTTGATTTTTCGAGATTTGACAATAGAGCCTGTTTATCTGGATGTCACCCTACAATAATTTGAAGAAAAACGATCAAAAGTCCATTTTGAAATTTTAAACGAGTTCAGCGCGATTTCTTGGAGATTTTGGAATTTTGAATGAGATTTTGCTAGAATTGGGCTTCCTGGATGTCACATTATGTAAATTTTTATAAATTGGCGCTTAAAAGCTTAAGAACCAGATGGCGCAGTGGTAGTGGTCAGATTTGTCGCTCAGAGCTCGCTGGTTCGACTCCGCCCTCGGCCAATTTTTTCTTTTTTGCTTCTTTTCGAAATTTGATTAAATTTTTGGCTTAGAGGGCTCTAATGATGTTCTTGTTCAGTCCGAAACTGAACTTTGTCCAACTCTAGCTTACTTGTGGCGCACTGGTGACAAACGAGACAATCCACGCAATCACGACCATTTGTTGAACCGATCTGGAATTTGTTGAGGTACTAGGGATCTGGAAAACGGCCAATGGGGCCAATGAGGCTAATGAGGCGTCTTGTCGCAGAAATAATGCAAAAATGACGAAATTTGATTAAGAAAACGAGTAAAAAGCTTCTCTCGCTAAAATACGGCTTTCTAGATTGATGAGGGTTCATTTTTTTCTCGAAATTGGTTGATCCTGGATGTCACACTAGCAAACTGCAAAAAAATTGAGGCTCTGGGGCTCAATTTGAAATTTTCCGACCACCAACTATCGAGTTCGGTATAAAAACCTTCAAAAACTTTAGGGATTGGATTTTTTGTTTCTAATTCTAATTAATAATCAAATAATCCTTTTTTGGTCACTGTACCTTCTGGCTTTCATGGCGTATAACGGGAGAAAAATCAAGATAAAACCGATCCAACGAAATGCAAATTAGCACATTTGCCGACAAAGCGATCCGAAAACATCGAAGAATTTACAGGCTCGGCAAAGCTGAAATTGCTCGGGTTACGGTAGGAAAAGAGACTAAGAGAAAGAGACTAAAGGCCTTTTTCAAACCAGCATTTTCCACAATTTCTTCGTGATTTTACAAGTTTTGCGGATATTTCTCGAAATCTTTCGAGATGAGCTCAATTTCTCCGGATTTTTGTTTTAATCTTGCAAACTTTACAATAAAGTCTGCTTATCTGGATGTCACACTACAATAATTTGAAAGAAAAACGATCAAAATCTCAATTTAAAATTTTAAACGAGATCAGCGCAATTTCTTGGAGATTTTTAGAGTTTTGAAGAAGATTTTGCTAGAATTGGGCTTCCTGGATGTCACACTATGCAAATTTTTATAAACTAGAGCTTAAAAGCTAAAAAACCGGATGGCGCAGTGGTAGTGGGCGCGTTTGTCGCTCAGAGCTCGCTGGTTCGACTCCGCCCTCCGTCAACGACTACAACCCTTTTTGCTTTTTGCCTCTTTTCGAGAAATTTGATCAATTTTTGGCATTCTGGTGTCCCGCGGGGCCGGGCGGGGCTCGAACCACCGACCTCTAGATCGGGAGCCGAACCCGTTACCCACTGCGCCATGGATACAAACTCTTAAAAATCATCTCTAAACCTTAAAAATGAAAAAATTAACTCTTGTGACATCCAGCTTAGCCAAAAATTGCTTTAAATCTTAAAAATCGTTTTGTTTTCAATGAAAAATTGGACTGATCTCGAAAATTTCTGAGATCAGCTCAATTTAGTCCCGATTTCGTTTGTTTCTTGCAAACTTTAGAATATAGTCTGCTTATCTGGATGTCACACTACAATAATTTGAAAGAAAAAAGATCAAAAGGCCATTTTGAAATTTTAAACGAGATCAGCGCGATTTCTTGGAGATTCTAGGATTTCTGAAGAAGATTTTGCTAGAATTGGGCTTCCTGGATGTCACACTATGCTAATTTTTATAAATTAAAGCTTAAAAGCTGAAAAACCGGATGGCGCAGTGGTAGTGGTCAGATTTGCCACTCCAGAGCTCGCTGGTTCGACTCCGCCCTCAGCCAAATTTTTGCTTCTACAAAAATTTGATCAAATCTTTGCCTAGACGTTTACCAGCGATGTCCGTATCGCAAAGAACTTTTACTTTAGTTTATTCAAAAAAAAAGAAACTCACAAAATCCCCTCCATTCCAGGCGATCATGTAATTGTGAAGGATTTCCTTTGGCATATAGAAAAAAGTGACCATCAAATGCGCGATGTTCATGTGGAGAAGAAGGGAATGCACGACTGCTTATTGGCGGGTTGATTCCTGGAAATTGGGTGGTTGAATGAGGCGATCCGCGACGCTTTTCGACCGATTTTCGAGATCAGCTCAATTTTCCTTCGAAAACCAAGCGATTTCTGGGATTTAAAGCGATTTGCGGGTCAAGCTGGATGTCACGAGATTCAATTTTTCAATTTTTAGCGTTCAAGGATGATTCTGAAAAAGTTGCACCCATGGCGCAGTGGGTCGGCTCGACTCCGGATCGAGACCTCGCGGGTTTCGAGCCCGGCCATGGACTAAAATTTCGCTTTTCTCTCAAAATCTCGTTTCTTTTAGATATTTATCTTTCTCCTTCATCGATTTTCAAAAAATCTTTTCGAAATAGCACTTTGAACTCATTATTTTCAAGTTTCAAAGCCATTTTCGAGATCAGTCCAATTTTCCTTTGAAAACCAACTGCCTCTGGGAAAGTGAAGCAATTTTTGGTCAAGCTGGATATCACGAGACTCAATTTTCACAATTTTACGGCTTATAGTTGATTTTAAAACTTTGAATCAAAGAATTTCGAGATCAGCTCAATTTTCCATTGAAAACAAACCGATTTTTGGCATTTAAAGCAATTTTTGAGTCAAGCTGGATGTCACGAGACTTAATTTTTTCATTTTTATCGCTCAAAGATGGTTTTGAAAGATTTGCACCCATGGCGCAGTGGGTAACACGCTTGGCTCCGGATCGAGACCTCGCTGGTTCGAGCCCCGGCCGGTCCCACGGAGCGCCAGACAGCTCAGAGTAAAGTGGTTAACTGATAGTAAGCCAAAAGGTGAGAGTGGGATGGTGAGAGGCGGAGGCGGGAGTCGAACCAGCGAGCTCTGAGCGGCAGGTAGCCCACTACCACTGCGCCATCGGATTCTTTGGCTTTTAAGCTCTAGTTTATAAAAATTTACATAATGTGACATCCAGGAAGCCCAATTCTATAAAAATCTCCTTCAAAACTCCAAAAAATCTCAAGAAATCGCCTGATCTCGTTTAAAATTTTAAATGGAGATTTTGATCGTTTTCTTTCAAATTCTTATAGTGTGACATCCAGATAAACAGCTTTTGTTGTAAGGTTGCAAGATTTAAACGAAATCGGGGTTAAATTGCGCTCATCTCGGAGGTTTCCTCAAAACTTATTGTTTTAAGCATAAATTTTCAAAGCTACCGGCTTTAAATCAAAACCAGCTTTGAAAATTCTTTAAATCTGCTTTCATGGCTGAAAAAGAGGTTGAAAAGGCTGAAAAAAGAGCTCAAAAAGAGATCTCTGCAAAATTAGGATCTTGGGTTTTTCGAGGTTTTTTATCGAAGATTTTTCGAAATTGGTTAAAATCGGTTTATAGTCAGATTAGAAGGGAAATTGAGTTTTATCTGTTTTCTCTTTTGTAGGCATCTGTTTTGTAAGCAAAAAGGATCAGGAAAGGGAAAGTTATCATCAAATCTTCAAATTCACATAAAAACTAGAGGCTTTTGGATACGGTAATGAAGTTGATGCGTTTCCGGTCGTTTTTCCCCAAATTTCCATGAGATTTCACAAATTTTACAATAAAACCTGTTTATCTGGATGTCACACTACAATAATTTGAAAGAAAAACCATCAAAATCTCAATTTAAAATTTTAAACGAGATCAGCGCGATTTCTTGGAGATTTTTGGAGTTTTGATCGAGATTTTTGTTAGAATTGGGCTTCCTGGATGTCACACTATGCAAATTTGTTATAAACTAACGCTGAAGCCTAAAGGACCAAATGGCGCAGTGGTAGTGGTCGCGTCGGTCACCGATAGCTCGCTGGTTCGACTCCGCCCTCCGCCAACGACCTCCACTTTTTTGCACTCGCTGACCTTCAAGGCGATCAAACTTCAAGTCTGTATTTCAAATCGGGTACTGAATGGAGGGAATTTCGAGATTTTCCGAGACGAGCTCAATTTTTCCCGATTTCGTTTGAAACTTGCAAACTTTAGAATAGGGACTGCTTAGCTGGATGTCAGACTACAATAATTTGAAGAATAATCGCCAAAAATCTCACTTTGAAATTTTAAACGAGATCAGCGCGATTTCTTGCAGATTTTTGGAGTTTTGAAGGAGATTTTGCTAGAATTGGGCTTCCTGGATGTCACACTATGAAAGTTTTATAAACTAGAGCTTAAAAGCTGAAAAACCGGATGGCGCAGTGGTAGTGGGTTACCTGCCGCTCCAGAGCTCGCTGGTTCGACCCCACCTCCGCCAATGACTCCCACCTTTTGCTTTTGCCTCTTTTCGAAATTTGTTCAAACTTTGGCATTCTGGCGTTCGGCAGGGCCGAGCAGGCTCGGACCAGGGATCTCAGATCCAAGCAGGCCGTTACCCACTGCGCCATGGGTGCAAAATCTTAAAATCATCTCTGACCCTTAAAAATAAAAAAATTGAGTCTTGTGACATCAGCTTAGCCAGGAATTGCACTAAATCCCAAAAATCGGTTTGTTTTCAAGGAAAATTGAGCTGATCTCGAAATTTCTGAGATCAGCTCAATTCTCACTTCATGACTGTCCCTAGATCGGTGAGGGCGCATTTTTCTAGCGAAATTGGCGTATCTGGATGTCACGCTTGGAAAAGCTGACAAAATTGAGGCTCTGGGTTCAATTTGAAATTTTTTTCTCACCTGCACAAAATGAGGAACATCGTGCCATTGCTAACGAGCGCAATCACAAAAACGAGCAACTGTAGACGATGAAGATGAGGAGAATGGGCAGCGTGAAAGGCATGTCGGGCAGGGGTTGAGCTCCTGGGATTGAAAATTAGCTTTAAAATGGATGAAAATCGCTTGAAATGTTACCAAAGGTTTTTTCTTTGAAAGGAAAGGTCAAAATGAATCTAAGATCGATTTTCTGTAGTTCTGGAAGTCACACTAGCCTTGTACAATGTTTATTTTGAGTTAGCCTTAGAAAAAAATATGCAAAAGATTTTTTGTACCTGCAAAATTTCTTCAACTGTATCCCCTGCTCATCCCAAGTCGATTGCACGATTTTTTGTTCCACATTCGCTCCGACAAATTCTCTCGAAGTGAGCCCATTTGCTAGCTAGAAACTTTTGTAGTTTTATAAAAAAACAAAAATCTAAGAAAGAGTCGATGAAAAACAATGAAAATCGTTTGAAAAACGAAGAAGTTAAGACTTCGACGATGAAATAGAGACCAGAAGACAATAAAATGGCCGAATAACAAATTTTCCATAAGATCTGGATGTCACAGAAGATTTTGAGATAATGTTTTGAATGATTTTAAACACTTTTCCCTGATGATGGCCGAGTGGTTAGCGGAAGAGCTTGGCTCGAAGGCTGAGTATCCACTAGTTCGAGCCCTTTTGCTGCCAAAATTATTTCCTTTTTGTTTTTCAAGGAAATTTATTTACAAATCGGTGGGAAAGCTGGAAAAATGCCTAAACCGAAAAAAAGTTTGCGAAAAGTGAAAGCGGAGCAAATTTTCCGAAACCGATGGCTGATGGAGATTCGTCTTGAACATAATCCGTCTAATCTGCGCTAAGACCCTATCAAAAGAGTGTTTCCAACGCCTTTCGTGACATCAAGCTTGTATGAATTGTCCTATATTTTTGCTTAATTTCCACTCTGGTTGACC